AACAGTACAATCATTAAAAACTGCAGAATCCTATCAGAAATGAAGAGGGGTACAAAGGTAACTAAGTAGGCTGGGCACGGTGGCTCAGGTCTAGGCAGGTAGATCATGAGGTTAAAGAGATCGAGACCATCCTGGCCAACGTGGTAAACCTCGTCTCTACTAAAAATACAAAAATTAGCTGGGCGTGGTGGCAGGTGCCTATAGTCCCAGCTACTTGGGAGGGTAAGGAAGGAGAATCACTTGAACCTGGAAGGCGAAGGCTGCAGTAAGCTATCACACCACTGCACTCCAGCCTGGTAACAGAACAAGACTCCGTCTCAAAGAAAACAAAACAAAACAAAAATAAAACAAATGCACTAAGTACAATTAGCAGTAACTGGGCAAAGTGGCTCAGGCCTGGAGTCTCAGCACTTTGAGAGGGTGAGGTGGGAGGACTGGTTCAAGACCAGCCTGGGCAACATAGCAAGCCCCCATCTCTACAAAAAATTGAAAAATGTAATTAGCCAAGATCCTGTCACTGTGTTCCAGTCTGGGCGACCGAGCAAGCCTCCATCCAAAAAAAAAAAAAAAAGAGAGAGAGAAAGAAAGGAGGGAATGAGGGAAGAAAGGAGGGAGGGAGGGAAGGAAGGAAGGAATTAGCAAATTCCCAACCCCATGATAAGTAATGCCAGTGCCATCAACTCCAGGAATGTAAGGTTCACTCTGGCTGATTTGTATCAGATCTTGATTTTGTCATCTCAGGTCATAGTGGGAGATACCGAGTCCCTCCGTGACCACTGAGAGAATGCTTTTTTTCTTGAGATGGTCTCGCTCTGTCACCAGGCTAGAGTGAAGTGGCGACCTCAGCTCACAGCAACCTCCGCCTCCCAGGTTCAAGTGATTCTTCTGTGTCAACTTGGTGCATGCCACCACACCCAGCTAATTTTTGTATTTTTAGTAGAGATGGGGTTTCACCATGTTGGCCCGGATGGTCTCAATCTCTTGGCCTTCTGATCCTCACGCCTTGGCCTCCCAAAGTGCTGGGTTTACAGGCATGAGCCACTGCGCCCAGCCCAGAATTCTTTACTGCTAACACTAGTGGGCCTGTTTCTGGAGGCTCTCCCCATGTATCCTGCAGAACCACAGTTTAGGGCCAGGCACAGTAGCTTGGCTTGTGTACAAAGGGGTATGTGTATCAGTTGGCCTTTACTGTGTAATATATAGGCCCAAAACCTACTAGCTGAAAACAGCAGCTACTTAGCAGAAGCCTCTTGAGGATGTACTTGCAAACCTCAGTTCTGCTGGTTTCTACTGGTCAAAGAAAGTCACAAGACTGGCTCACATAAAAATGAGACAGATTTCACCGTCACATAGTAATCTCAAAAACTTGTGGCCATCTGTAATCTACCACAAGGTGTTATTGGGCCTGTGTCAAGAGGTCTATTCCTTTTGCCACCAGATCTGTCTAGTAGCTTCTGTGACAATGCACTTCCTTCTGGGTCTCTCTCTGCAAGTGCAGTAAGTGTACATGGGAATCACGTTATTCAAACAGCCTAGTATACTTTGTTGGAAAGAAAAGGTATGAATGAACATTTAAATTTAAAATTGTAATTTTTTTTTTTTTTTTTTTTTTGAAACGGAGTTTCGCTCTTGTTACCCAGGCTGGAGTGCAATGGCGCGATCTCGGCTCACTGCAACCTCCACCTCCTGGGCTCAGGCAATTCTCCTGCCTCAGCCTCCTAAGTAGCTGGGATTACAGGCACGCGCCACCACGCCCAGCTAGTTTTTTGTATTTTTAGTAGAGACGGGGTTTCACCATGTTGACCAGGATGGTCTCGATCTCTCGACCTCGTGATCCACCCGCCTCGGCCTCCCAAAGTGCTGGGATTACAGGCTTGAGCCACCGCGCCCGGCCTTGTAATGTTTTATATTAGCAAAAAAATATACAAATTGGGCCGGGTGCAGTGGCTGACGCCTGTAATCCCAGCACTTTGGGAGGCCAAGGCGGGTGGATCACCTGAGTTCAGGAGTTCAAGACCAGCCTGGTCAACATGGTGAAACCCCGTTTCTAAAATATGTGTATTTTATATATATACATACACACACACACACACAAATTTCAAACATCAAGAATAAAATAATTTTGAAAATATATGAGAAATACAGAGCTGAACACAATGGGACAAACAGAGAACAAGTAAGATGCTAGAACTGAATCCAAATTATTACTAATTATATGTAAGGCACTAAATGCACAACATTAAAGGATTGTTAATTGGTATGTTTCTTTTCTATTTTTTTTTCGAGACAGTCTTATTCTGTCACCCAGGGTGGAGTGCAGTGGTGTGATCGCGGCTCACTGCAAACTGAATCTCCCAGGTTCATTCGATTCTTCTGCCTCACCCTCCCGAGTAGCAGGGACTACAGGGGCGCACTACCATCCCCAGCTAATTTTTGTATTTTTAGTAGAGACAGGGTTTCATCATATTGGCCAGGCTGGTCTTGAACTCCTGACCTCATGATCCACCCACCTTGGCCTCCCTAAGTGCTGGGATTATAGGCGTGAGCCACTGTGCCCAGCCATAATAACTTTTTTAAAAAAGATCTCCTTGTGTTGCTCAGGCTGGCCTCAAAGTCCTGGGTGTAAGCAATCCTCCCACCTTGGCCTCCCAAAGTGTTCAGATTATAGGCATGAGCCACTACTTTTAACGTAGGCTTGTCATCCACCTGTCCTGACCTCCCAAAGTGCTGGGATTACAGGCATGAGCCACCACACCTGGCCGATGATTTTTTTTTTTTTTTTTTTTTTTTTGAGATGGAGTCTTCCACTGTTGCCAGGCTGGAGTGCAGTGGTACAATCTTGGCTCACTGCACATCCACCTCCTGGGTTCAAGCAACTCTCCTGTCTCAGCCTCCTGAGTAGCTGGGATTACAGGAACATGCCCTCATGCCCAGCTAATTTTTGTATTTTTAGCAGAGACAGGGTTTCACTGTGTTGGCCAGGATGGTCTTGATCTCTTGACCTCATGATCCGCCTGTCTCGGCCTCCCAAAATGCTGGGATTACAGGCATGAGCTGCCATATCCAGCCCCAACCGATGACTCTTATAGCATATAGATTAAGAATTTAGAATAAATAAGAACATGCACCAGGGACAGTACATGACAGTCATAATCTATAAGTATTGTTCAGGGACAATAAAGCTTATCAAGGAATACAAGGTTGACTAACATTAGAAAAGCAATAAATATAAAGACTACATTTATTTATTTTTTAATGGAGTCTTGCTCTATTGCCCAGGCTGGAGTGCAATGGTGCAATCTCCACTCAATGCAACCTCCAATGCCCGGGTTCAAGTGATTCTCCTGCTACAGCCTCCCAAGTAACTGGGATTACAGGTGCATGCCACCACACCCAGGTAATTTTTGTATTTTTAGTAGAGATGGGGTTTCACCATTTGGCCAGGCTGGTCTCGAACTCCTGACCTCAAGTGATCCACCCATCCCCGCCTCCCAAAGGGCTAGGATTACAGGCATGAGCCAGCATTCCCAGCTGGAAGAGTCCATCAAAGCATTCACTCACTCAAGTTTTTTTTTTTTTTTTTTTTTTAAGATGGGGTCTTGCTTTGTTGCCTAAGCTGGTCTAGAACCCCTGGGCTCAGGCAATCCTCCCAAGTAGCTAGGACTATAGGCATGCATCACCACACAGTTTCACTGAAGTATTTATTAGGTACCATCATGGGCATGGTACAGTTCTAGGTACTTGAGTTTTATCAATAAATAAACATGATAATCACAGAGGCTGTGCTGGAAGCATTTAATAAATTCAAGAGGAATTCAGCCTTACAAATTATGAAATATTGGGAAACCATTCATCATATAAAAACTGGACATAAAGCAAAAACCTTTTCTGTAAGAGATAGCCTCTTCAAAAAAATAAATAAGAAATAAAAACCTACAGCCAAGCCCATAAAATGGAGCTCATGTCTCACCAGAACTACAAAGACAAATATGCTGCTATTACTACTTTGAGTTGATGGTGTGCTGGAGGTTGAAATCAGTCCAATAAAGCAAAAATGTATATATATATATATACATACATACATATATATATATATATACACACACACATATATAATATTCTTGCAATACAAAGCTATATATATATATATACACATACATACATACATAAAACCTAATGATGGAATAGTAAGAGTCATGATTTATAGATTATCTGACTGCGTATGTAGAAAGGGAAAAGAATCATACTAAGTACTTTGGACTGAGCGATGACCTCCAAAATTCTTTTTTTTTTTTTTTGAGACGGAGTTTCGCTCTTGTTACCCAGGCTGGAGTGCAATGGCATGATCTTGGCTCACCGCAACCTCCGCCTCCTGGGTTCAGGCAATTCTCCTGCCTCGGCCTCCTGAGTAGCTGGGATTACAGGCACGCACCACCATGCCCAGCTAATGACCTCCAAAATTCTTATGCTGAAGCTCCAAACCCCAATGTGACTGTATGTGAAAATAGGATCTTTAGGAAGTATCATTAAATGACGTAGAGAAATGGCAGTGTTTGTGGGGAGAGGGGGAGGAAGGGAAGGAGGGCGGGAAAGGGAAAGAGAAAGGAGAGAGAGAGAGAGAGAGAGACAGACAGACAGACAGACAGAGACCGAGACCACCAGATTGATTTCTTGGTCTCCATCATGTGAAGACATGAGGAAGTAGGCATTTACATGCCAGAAAAAGAGCTCTCACAAGAAACTAACCATGTTAGCAATTTGATCTCAGACTTCCAACATCCAGAAATGTGACAATATAAATTTTGGTGTTTTTAACCTCATTTAAAGTTAAATGAATTTGTAAGCCATTTAGTTTGTGCACAGACATCATGAGTGGGATTCATGGACTGTATTAGCCATCTTAACAGAAGTGAGGAGACTGGACTATACTAGATGAGACACTGCCACTTAGACTGTGCCACCTAAAATGGACAGAGAAGGCAGAACACAACAGGCAAGGCTGTTACACTTCTTAGATTTTATAAGATGACACAGTAATAATCAGCTGTGAAAGTACACTGGCAGTTAAGGATGGTTTAATTTCTGCCATGCTCTGCAAGATCCATAGGAACAGAAGAGACCCTTGGAAGAACATCTTTCAACAGTTCACCTCTGGGCCTATATCACCTTGGCTTCCAGTAAATTTTGACATGAATGTGCTACACTGGCAGCCACTAACTGACAGGGGATAAAACGAACTTGCATGATTTATCTCATTCAGAACTTGTTAATACCATGATCCTAGGAATCTAATCACCAAGGTGAGGGAGGCTGCAGTACTGACCTTACCATCCATGACCCTTCTTCACAGATGCCCAGACTCAGGCAACCATGAAGAAGTTGTATTCAGAACCATGAAGAAGTTGTATTAGTCTGTAATTTCAGACTCTCGGATGGCATCAAAGGCCAATCCATGAGCCATTACACACCTTTGCAAGGCATTTAGGACAAATCTGATGATCTCTGGTGTCATGGCCAATAATTAAAAATGGCAACTGATGGGCTAAATGGTAACATTCATACCCTTACATTCATAGAGTTTCTGCCCAGTGTGAATTCTTTCATGGGTACTTAGGCGTGAGGAAACAGCAAATGCTTTCCCACATTCCTTACATACAAAAGGTTTCTCTCCAGTATGACTTCGCAAGTGTACTTTAAGGGCTGAGGAAAACATAAACGCTTTCCCACATACCTTGCATACAAAGGGCTTTTCTCCAGTATGAGTTCTCAAATGTTTACTACGATGTGAAGAAGTAATGAACGTTTTTCCACATTCAATGCATTCATAAGGCTTCTCCCCTGTGTGAATTCTTTTATGTTGAGTAAGGGTTGCAGATCTATTGAAGGCTTTTCCACATTCTTTACACTGATAGGGTTTCTCTCCACTGTGATTTCGAATGTGTATAGCAAGACCTGTGTACTGAGTGAAGGCTTGCCCACATTCCTTACATTCATAGGGTTTTATTCCAGTGTGCGTTCTTACATGTTGAGTAAGGTGAGTTGATTTAGTGAATGTTTTCCCACATTCTGTACATTTGTGTGGTTTTATTCCAGTGTGAATTTGAATGTGCTCATTAAGGGATGAGGAATTTCTAAAGGCTCTTCCATATTCTTTACATTCAAAGAACTTCTCTCCTTTATGAGTTTTCACATGTGCAGAAAGTTGAGAAAAATTAGTGAAGGATTTCTCACATTTCTCAGTCTCTTTGGATTTCTTTCCAGTATGAACTGTTACACAGTGCTTTAGATGTGAGGAAGCTGTGATGGCTCCCCTACATTCCTTAAACTCACAGAGCTTCACTCCAGTGTGGATTCCCATGTGATTATCAAGGCTTGCAAAATACTTAAAGCCTTTTCCACATTCCTTACATTTGTAGGGTTTTCTTGCATTGAGAATTTGAAGATGTACTGCAAGGCCTGTAGTTAGGGAGAAGACTTTTCCACATGGATTAAATTTGGAAAGTTCCTGTCCAACAGAGGGTTCCTTGTGCACAGTGAGGACATCTTTTCCATAACAATTAAACTCAGAAGTGTTCCCTCCATTCTGAGCTCTCATGTGTGTCTTAAGGCAAAACTGTTCACTGAAGACCTCTCCACAATTTTTACAGAGTTTCCATCCACTGTAGCTTGTCTGCTGATGAACAGATAAAAGGATTTAAAACATTTTCAGACATATTAAGAGATTTTACCCACCTAAAGACAGAAACATTATTTTGATGACAATTATTATTTTACTTTTTACTTTTTTGTTGACACAGTCTTGTTCTATCTCCCAGTCTGGAGTGTTAGTGGCACAGTCTTAGCCAACTGCAACCTCCACCTCCCAGGCTCAAGTGAATCTCCTTCCTAAATCTACCTAGTAGCTGGGGTAGCTGGGAATACAGGTGTGTGCTAATGCACCAGCTAAGTTTTTCTATTTTTTTTTTTGTAGAGACAGGGTTTTGCCACGTTGCCCAGGCTGGTCTCAAACTCCTGAGTTCAGGTGATCTGCTTGCCTTGGCCTCCCAAAGTGGTAAGATTACACCATGTTCAGTATGTTTTACTTTTTCCAGAATTGGAGTTTCACTCCATTGCCTGGGATATCATGCACTGGTGTGTTCATGGCTCACTGTTACCTCGAACTCCTGGTTGGGTTCAAGGATCATCCTGCCTTAGCTTCCTGTGTAGGTAAAACTTTCAGCATGCACCATCATGCCTGGCCAAACTTTCTTTTTTTTTTTTTTTGAGATGGAGTTTCACTCTTGTTACCCAGGCTGGAGTGCAATGGCACGATCTCAGCTCACCGCAACCTCCGCCTCCTGAGTTCAAGCAATGCTCCTGCCTCAGCCTCCCAAGTAGCTGGGACTACAAGCACACACACCATGCCCAGCTAATTTTTTTTTTTTTTTTTTTTTTTTTTGAGACAGAGTTTCGCTCTTGTTACCCAGGCTGGAGTGCAATGGTGTGATCTCGGCTCACCGCAACCTCCGCCTCCTGGGTTCAGGCAATTCTCCTGCCTCTGCCTCCTGAGTAACTGGGATTACAGGCACGCACCACCATGCCCAGCTAATTTTTTGTATTTTTAGTAGAGACAGGGTTTCACCATGTTGACCAGGATGGTCTCGATCTCTTGACCTCGTGATCCACCCGCCTCGGCCTCCCAAAGTGCTGGGATTACAGGCGTGAGCCACCGCGCCCGGCCCAGCTAATTTTTGTATTTTTAGTAGAGATGGGGTTTCACCTTGTTGACCAGGATGGTCTCGATCTCTTGACCTCGTGATCCGCCCGCCTTGGCCTCCCAAAGTGCTGGGATTACAGGCGTAAGCCACCATACCCGGCCCCCAAACTTTCTGTTTATTTGAGATGGAGTCTTGCTCTGTCTGGAGTACAGTGGTGCAATCTTGGCTCATTGCAATCTCCACTTCCTCAGTTCAAGCGATTCTCGTGCCTCAAGACTCCTGAGTAGCTGGGATTATAGGCAAGTGCCACCACACCCAGATAATTTTTGAAATTTTAGCACAGATGGGGTTTCACCATGTTGGCTAGGCTAGTCTTGAACTCCTGATCTTGTGATCCACCCGCCTTGGCCTCCGTAATTGCTGGGATTACAGGCATGAGCCACTGCGCCCAGCCTCAATTTATTTTTATAGAGACAGGGTCTTGCTATGTAGCCTAGGCTGGTCTCAATCTCTTCAAGCTGCCTCAGCCTCCCAAAGTGCTGGGATTATAGCCATGAGCTACCATGGCAGCCTAGTTTCATAACTACAATTTTTATTTTTATTTTTATTTATTTATTTTTTTGAGACGGAGTTTCACTCTTGTTACCCAGGCTGGAGTGCAATGGCGCGATCTTGGCTCACCGTAACCTCTGCCTCCTGAGTTCAGGCAATTCTCCTGCCTCAGCCTCCTGAGTAGCTGGGATTACAGGCATGCGCCACCATGACCAGCTAATTTTTTGTATTTTTAGTAGAGATGGGGTTTCACCATATTGACCAGGATGGTCTCGATCTCTTGACCTCGTGATCCACCCGCCTCAGCCTCCCAAAGTGGTGGGATTATAGGCATGAGCCACCGTGCCCAGCCGATAACTACAATTTTTATAATTTTTCTTTCATGGCTTCATTTCCTGAACTCTTGATTTCTTTCAGATTGAATAATGTATCTTTTGCCAGAATTCTATGCCACTGGCTCTAATTGCTCCAAAAAAAAAAAAAAAAAAAAAAGAAGAAAACTGTGTATTTTAATTGTGTGGGGGGTGGTTTGAGACAGGATCTCACTCTGTCATCCAGGCTGGGTACAATGGCACAATCACAGCTCACTGCAGCATTAATCTCCCAGGCTCAAGCCATCATCCTGCCTTGGTCCCCCAAGGAGCTTGAACCATAGTTATATGCCAACATGCCTAGCTCATTTTTAATTTTTTGCAGAGACAGCATCTCCCTGTTGCCCAGGCTGGTCTTGAACTCCCAGATTCAAGCAATTCTCCTGCCTCAGCTTCTCAAAGTACTGGGATTACAGGCATCGGCCAGCCATTGCACCCAGCCAAATTGTGTAGATTTTCATGAAACTGTTTAAATCCTCAATGCCTAGTTACATATATGGGAATGTGTACTTCTGGGTATTTTCAAGTGACAAGTTATACAGGTTTGGAACATCAGAAAATTTATCACATTCACACTATCTCTCCAGAGACACTGTTCCCTCAAGAGTGCAGGCTACTTCTCTAATTCTCTGAAGCATTTCTCATTTGTGCTGTATTTTTTTTTTTTTCGTTGCAAACTCCACTTCCTGGGTTTAAGCAATTCTGCCTCAGGCTCTCAAGTAACCGGGATTACAAGTACCCATCACCATGTCTGGCTAATTTTGTATTTTTAGTAGAGATAGAGTTTCACCACGTTGGCCAGGCTGGTCTCGAAGCACTAACCTCAAGTGATCCACCCACCTCAGCCTCCCAAAGTGCTGGGATTACCGACTCAGTTTCTTTTCTTTTTTTTTGAAGTGGAGTCTCACTCCGTCACCCAGGCTGGAATACAGTGGTGCAGTCTTGGCTCATTGCAACCTTCGCCTCTGGGTCAAGCAATTCTCCTGCCTCAGCCTCTCGAGTAACTGTGATGACACGTACCCACCACCATACCTGGCTAGTTTTGTATTTTTATAGAGACAGAGTTTCGCCATGTTGGCCAGGCTGGTCTCAAACTCCTGACCTCAAGTGAGCCACCACCTTGGCATCCCAAAGTGTTGGTACTACAGGCATGAACCACCATATCCAGCCTCTTTTTAAAAATCAGAGATAGGATCTTGCTATATTGCCTAGGCTGGTCTCAAACTCCTGGGCTCAAATGATCCATCTCAGCCTTCCAAGTAGCTGGGATTACAGATGTAAGCCACAGCTCTGACTCTGCTAATTTTCTAGAATGGAATTCTCAATTTTTTTCTGAGAGAGGAAACTAAGAAACATCCCTCATCAATCTTACCATTTGTATCCCACTGAAGATTTCATTCTTCAAAAAACTCTGCTGAAGTGATAACCCTTGGGTTCTAGGTTGTATTTCCCATTCTGAAGTTAAGCAGAAAAAGTAATGTAAGGGTTTAGAGAAGAAATGTTATACTAAAGTGGTTTAAAATAAAAAGTCATTAGTACTTGTTTTCTTTTTTTTTTTTTTTTTTTTTTTTTTTTTTTTTTTTTTTTGAGACGGAGTTTCTCTGTTGTTACCCAGGCTGGAGTGCAATGGCGCGATCTCGGCTCACTGCAACCTCCGCCTCCTGGGTTCAGGTAATTCTCCTGCCTCAGCCTCCTGAGTAGCTGGGATTACAGGCACGTGCCACCATGCCCAGCTAATTTTTTGTATTTTTTTAGTAGAGACGGGGTTTCACCATGTTGACCAGGATGGTCTCGATCTCTCGACCTCGTGATCCACCCGCCTCGGCCTCCCAAAGTGCTGGGATTACAGGCTTGAGCCACCGCGCCCGGCCAGTACTTGTTTTCAAATTAAACACAGTAACAAAATAAAAGCCAGAGAACCTTGAGGATTTGGTATTACAGCAAAACTTTGGCTATAAGGATGTGGGGTTTATTACATAACTGATGATATGCTTAGGTAGTTTATTACACACTGCTTCTGTGAAAATATGGTGAACAGGAAGAGATTATCCGGAAAGGAAAGCAGGAAGATCTGGATAAAGAGCATATATCAAAATGATAAACTTAACAAAAAAACCAGAACAGGTAGTTTTGTTAGATCATAGGAATTTGTGACTAGATGGAAAATAAGTCAGAGATATCTGAAATTCTGATAAAAAAATAGCTTAAATCTTCTGAGGCCAAGTACATCTTTAAAAATCTTTTATTGCCGAGCGCGGTGGCTCAAGCCTGTAATCCCAGCACTTTGGGAGGCTGAGGCGGGTGGATCACAAGGTCAAGAGATCGAGACCATCCTGACCAACACGGTGAAACCCCGTCTCTACTAAAAATACAAAAAATTAGCTGGGCATGGTGGTGCATGCCTATAATCCCAGCTACTCAGGAGGCTGAGGCAGGAGAATTGCCTGAACCCAGGAGGCGGAGGTTGCGGTGAGCCGAGACCATGCCATTGCACTCCAGCCTGGGTAACAAGAGCGAAACTCCGTCTAAAAAAAAAAAAAAAAAAAAAAAATCTTTTATTATTATTTTTTTTTAGGACAAAGTCTTACTCTGTCACCCAGGGTGAAGCGCAGTGGCACAATCTCGGCTCACTGCAACCTCTGCCTCCTGGATTCAAGAAATTCTACTGCCTCAGCCTTCCAAGTAGCTTTGACTACAGGCATGTGCCACCATGTCCGGCTAATTTTTTGCATTTTTAGTAGAGACTGGGTTTCACTGTGTTACCCAGGATGGTCTCAATCTCCTGAACTCATGATCCCACCTGCTTCAGCCTCCGAAAGTGCTGGGATTACAAGTGTGAGCCACTGCACCCAGTCAAATCTTGCTTCAGGCAATCCACCCACCTCAGCCTCCCAAAGTGCTGGGATTACAGGCATAAGCCACTGCGCCCGGCCTAAAAATCTCCTTATTCTAGTTGCAAAAACATACAGAACTTCTCATTAGAGTTCTGTTTTATAAATACTCACGCTGAAGAACTCCACTCTCCATTGTCTTCAACTCTTCTTGTTTTAACCAAGAGGTCGGGTTGGGTATGAACAGCTGACAACCTGTGCAGGTGGAAAGACATTAAACGAAGTGGCCCATGCAAGAAATGACAAACCTTCCTATGATTTAGGAGATTTATTTCTACTTTTTTTTTTTTTTTTTGAGACAGAGTCTCTTACTTGTCTCCCAGGCTGGAGTGCAGTGGTGCAATCTTGACTCACTGCAACCTCAGCCTCCTGGGTTTAAGCGATTCTCCTGCCTCAGCCTCCTGAGTAGCTGCGATTACAGGCACCTGCCACCACGGTTAGTTGATGTTTTCTGTACTTTTAGTAGAGATGGGGTTTCGCCATGTTGGCCAGGCTGGTCTCCTAACCTCAGGTGATCCGCCCACCTCAGCCTCACCAAGTGCTGGGATTACAGGGATGAGGCACAGCGCTCGGCCAGAAGATCCATTTCTTTTTTTTTTTTTTTTGAGACGGAGTTTCGCTCTTGTTACCCAGGCTGGAGTGCAATGGCGCGATCTCGGCTCACCGCAACCTCCGCCTCCTGGGTTCAGGCAATTCTCCTGCCTCAGCCTCCTGAGTAGCTGGGATTACAGGCATGCGCCACCATGCCCAGCTAATTTTTTGTATTTTTAGCAGAGACGGAGTTTCACCATGTTGACCAGGATGGTCTCGATCTCTCGACCTCATGATCCACCCGCCTCGGCCTCCCAAAGTGCTGGGATTACAGGCTTGAGCCACCACGCCCGGCCACCAGAAGATACATTTCTAATAAAAGCAATGTAATTAAAACAAAAGAGCTGAACAAGCTAAGACCCCCATTTCTGTGCCCCCCAAAATTGGTTATCTCTGACCAATTAAACCCAAATGCAGGCTGACATACACATTTACAAAGCACTAAAACTTTTCTTTTTCAGCGTGTGTTTATTTTTGAGACACATTCTCATTCTGTCACCAGGACGGAGTGCAGTATTGCAATATTGACTCATTGCAACCTCCACCTCCCAGTTTCAAGCGATAATCCTGCCTCAGTCTCCCAAGTAGCTGGGGCTATAGGCACGCCCCACAGTGCTCAGCTAATTTTTGTATTTTTACTAATGACAAAGTTTCACCATGCTGACTAGCCTGGTCTTGAACTCCTGACATCAGGTGATCCACCACACCTGGCCAAACTTTTACATGTTAAGTAGGCTAGGCATGGTGGCTCATGCCTGTAATCCCAGCACTTTGGGAGGCTGAGGCAGCTGGATCACGAGATCAGGAGTTGAAGACTCAGCCTGGCCAAGATGGTGAAACCATGTCTCTACTAAAAATAAAAAAACTTAGTGGGGCGTGGTGGCGGGTGCCTGTAATCCCAGCTATTTGGAAGGCTGAGGTTGCAGTGAACCAAGATCACATCATTGTACTCCAACCTGGGCGATGGAGGGAGACTCTGTCTCCAAAAAAAAAAAAAAAAAAAAGTAAGTACAAGAAAAAGATGCTTGCTCTCATGGGTAAACAACTCTGCCACTGAATCTCAAACACAACAGTATATTAGATTCATCTTTAGGGATTCAAAAAACACAGATGACTGGGCCCAAACCGTGAAGTTTCCAATTTAGTAGTCAAAGATACGGGAATGAAGATGCACATTTCTGGCCGGGCGCGGTGGCTCATGCCTGTAATCCCAGCACTTTGGGAGGCTGAGACGGGCGGATCATGAGGTCAAGAGATCGAGACCATCCTGGCCAACATGGTGAAACCTCGCGTCTACTAAAAAATACAAAAATTAGCTGGGCATGGTGGTGCATGCCTGTAAGTCCCAGCTACTTGGGAGGCCGAGGCAGGAGAACTGCTTGAACCTGGGAGGCGGAGGTTGCAGTGAGCCAAGAGCATGCCATTGCACTCCAGCCTGGCTCCTGGCGACATAACAACTCTGTCTCCAAAAAAAAAAAAAAAAAAAGTACATTTGATTTTTTTTTTTTTTTTTTTTTTGAGACGGAGTTTCGCTCTTGTTACCCAGGCTGGAGTGCAATGGCGCGATCTCGGCTCACTGCAACCTCCGCCTCCAGGGTTCAGGCAATTCTCCTGCCTCAGCCTCCTGAGTAGCTGGGATTACAGGCACGCACCACCATGCCCAGCTATTTTTTTTGTATTTTTAGTAGAGACGGGGTTTCACCATGTTGACCAAGATGGTCTCGATCTCTTGACCCTGTGATCCACCCGCCTCGGCCTCCCAAAGTGCTGGGATTACAGGCTTGAGCCACCGCGCCCGGCCTGTTTTTTTTTTTTTTACATTACATCAGACAAAATTTGTCATAATAAGCCATGCCAACCAACATACCATCTATACCCCAAAAATAATGTTAAAAAACTGGAAAAAAGTATCTCAAATGAATCATAATAACTCTTAGCAGACTAAAGGACAAGCACATTGATCCTATTGTGCTACTAGTGTCTTTTTCTCAGCCCTGACTTTGGATTTTACCCAACGCCAAATTCTTCTACTACTTCTATAATACAGATCTCTTTTCCCTGTCTTCAGCTTTGGAATTGATGGTCAGCTTGGATCCTAGCATCTCTTATGGATTATCTCAGGGTAACTGGGCATTTTTTTATTTTTTGAAATTTTTCACAGGGAAGTTGTATGGCCACTGTTTTCCGGAAGTAAATAGTTTCATCTACCTCATTACAATACACTGGCTGGCAGTTTTTATTTTGACATTTAAATCACCTTATCTAATCCTCTGAGCTGCATACTATATCTGGCATTTCTCCCCATATTATCCCTCCTCAGCCCCCAAAAATGTACATTTCTAACAGCATGAAGCAGATGCAGTTGATGATGTTTCAAGAATTACCACAGTAAATTAAAACATATTACAGCAGGGACTGTTATTTGGGACAGCCTCTGTTATTCCCCACTGTATTCAGAATTGACAAGCAAGGATATAACATACTTTTGTTCTATAACAGGCTGTTTTTTTTTTTTTTTTTTTTTTAATTGAGACAGAGTCTCACTCTGTCACCCCAGGCTGGAGTACAGTGAGTGGCATGATCTCAGTTCATCTCAACCACTGCCTTTGGGTTCAAGGGATTCTCCTGCATCATCCTCCCGAGTAGTTGGGACTACAGGCATGTGCCACCATGACCAGCTAATTTTTGTATTTTTAGGAGAGACTGAGTTTCACTATGTTGGCCAGGCTGGTCTTGAACTCCTGACCTCGTTATCTGCCCTCCTTGGCCTCCCAAAGTGCCGGGATTACAGGCGTGAGCCACTGTGCCCGTCTGCTAGTCTTTACTTATTTTTTTTGAGGCAAAGTCCCCCTCTGTTACCCCAGCTGGAGTTCCTTGGTGCAATCTCAGCTCGCTGCAACCTCCACCTCCTGGGTTGAAGCAGTTCTTCTGTCCCAAACTAATAGCTGGGTTTACAGGCACCCGCCACCACGTCTGGCTAGGTTTTTGTATTTTGAGTAGAGAAAGGGTTTCAATATTTTGGCCAGGCTGGTCTGAAACTTCTGACCTCAGGTGATTTGCCCATCTTGGCCTTCCAAACTGCTAGGATTGCAAGCATGAGCAACTGCACGCAGTCTAGTCTTTTTTTTTTTTTTTTTAAATCTTTTTTTTAGAAACAAGGTCTCACAATGTTGCCCATGCTAGTCTCAAACTCTCAGGCTGAAACAATTCTCCCACCTCAGCTTCCCAAGTACCTGGGACTAAGGGTGCAGGCCACCATGTGCAGCAAAATGATGTGACTCTTACCCACAGAGGCCAGGTTCTTGTAGTTCTCCAGCATCACATCTCTGTAGAGGTATTTCTGAGTTGTGTCCAGTAAAGCCCACTCCTCTGGGGTGAACTCCACAGCAACATCATCAAAGGTCACTGAATCCTAAGTCATCACACATATCCTGGTTTGAGCCAACGAACACTTCCACCAGTGTTCACTGGAGAATGAGGAAGGGAACCTTATACTCAACTTATACATGGTTCTGAGATCTCCCAACATCTACTCCAGGGTTTAATGTCTCAGGAGCTGTTGTGTCTAAACACTCAAAGGTGACCTCCTATAGGTATGTGCCTTGAACAGACGTTTTTTTTTTGAGAGGGAGTTTCACTGTCACCCAGGCTGGAGTGCAGTAGTGTGATCTCGGGTCACTGCAACCTCTGCCTCCTGGGTTCAAGGGATTCTCCTGCCTCAGCCTCCTGAGTAGCTGGGACTACAGGCGTGTGCCACCACAACTGAGTAATTTTTTATTTTTAGTAGAGATGGGGTTTCACCATGTTGGCCAGGAGTTCCAACTCCAGATCTCAGGTAATCTGCCCGCCTCAGCTTCCCAAAGTGCTGAGATTCCAGGCATGAGCCACCGTGACCAAACAGCATGTTTAAAAAAATTTTTTTAATCATTTTAAAAATCTATTTATTTTTAATTTGTAAACATTTTTTATTTTTAAATTTTAAATTTTTTTTATTTTTATTTTTATTTTTTTGAGACGGAGTTTTACTTTTGTTACCCAGGCTGGAGTGCAATGGTGTGATCTCGGCTCACTGCAACCTCCGCCTCCTGGGTTCAGGCAATTCTCCTGCCTCAGCCTCCTGAGTAGCTGGGATTACAGGCACGCACCACCATGCCCAGCTGATTTTTTGTATTTTTAGTAGAGACGGGGTTTCACCATGTTGACCGGGATGGTCTTGATCTGTTGACCTCATGATCCACCCGCCTCGGCCTCCCAAAGTGCTGGGATTACAGGCTTGAGCCACCGCGCCTGGCCAAATTCTTATTTTTATTTTGATTAGAACAGGACTTCCTAAACATGAATTTTTACCTATCTAGCAGCTATCTACCTATCCATCCATCCATCTGTATTTATTTATTTATATATAATATGTATTTATTTATATATAATAACAGGGTCCCACCGTGTCACCCAGGCACAATCACTGGTGACTGACTGAGGCTTTGATCTTCTGGGCTGCAGTGCTCCTCTGACCTCCGCCTCCTGAGTAGCTGGAATTACAGGCATGAGCCACTGCCCACAGCTTACACTTTATCTCAGCACAATCACCACCAGGCTAGAAGCTCTTCCTATCCCATCTGTCTCTGTGCAGCACACTCCTGAGCACACTGAAGATATCTGGTAAATACTGATGTATGAATAAATTATTTGATAAAAGGACACTTTCATCTGCTTTATCATCTGTCACACCACCCAGCAATCAAAGAAAAATGCACTTTGCACCATGAAAGTCAAGCTTAATTAGTTATTACTGAGATCATGGGATGATTTTCAAGTTAACATTTTATCTACAGGAGATTTTATTCCCTGGGGAAATTCATCTGGGGACTCGTCCTTCAGTAAGGCTTCATTTACTCTAAGAGAACTCTGGAGATGAGTCTGTCTAGAAGGAAATGTGTCCACCTACTGTATGTAAGTATGACATTTTGTACAACAGTACATTTTCACTTTACCTGATAACCATTTGCCAGGTAGTCCACGACCGTCCTTTCTACCTTTGTCTTTTCTTCAAAAAGGCAGATTGGTTCCCTGGAAAAAAACCCTAGTGGAAAAGTAAGAAGGCATGAGAAGCCAGAGCTACCTGTACTTCTCACATTCACATGCCTAGAAGTCATTCTATCCCAGTTTGAAATTCCCATATACTCCTGCACACTCGAGAAAACTGCAGACAGACAACACGCCCATGAAATGCCATAGTAGTCCTTGTCACCTAGACTCAGAAAAGCAGATGTGGGCCGAGCTGCCTGTTGGGTAAATGGTAATAGTTTCATTTTGCAAGGAAACTTAAACCCTGAAAAATGTGACTACCTGCCCATACTAGTAAAATTCATGAAGCTTATATAGCATTTCCTAAGGCACACAAACCAGGGCTGAATTCTAAAACAGCAATCTGGCTAGGCACAGTGGCTCATGCCTGTAATCCCAACACTTTGGGAAACCAAGGCAGGCAAATCACTTGAGGTCAGGAATTTGAGACCAGCCTAGCCAACATGGTGAAATGCCGTCTCTACAGAGGGAAAAAAAAAAAAATTACAGGAGGCCGAGGCAGAGAATTGCTTGAACCCGTGAAGTAGAGGTTGCAGTGATCCGAGATCATGCCACTGCACTCCAGCCTGGGCGACACAGCAAGATTCCATCTCAATAAATAAATAAATAAATAAATAAATTTTAAAAACCAGCATTCTGTGTCTCACTTCAATTCCTCTAGAAGAAACAGTGGTGGCTGAGCACGGTAGTTCACGCCTGTAATCCCAGCACTTTGGGAGGCTGAGGTGGGTGGATTACTTGAGGTCAGGAGTTCGAGACCAGCCTGACCAACGTGGAGAAACCCAATGTCTACTAAAAATACAAAATTGGCCAGGCATGGTGGTGCATGCCAGTAATTTCCGCTACTTGAGAGGCTGAGGCAGGAGAACTGCTTGAACCCTGGAGGCAGAGGTTGTGGTGAGCTGAGATCCCGCCATTGCACTCCAGAGTGGGCAACAAGTCCAAAACCCTGTCTCAAAAAAAGCAAAACAAAATGAAACAAAAAAAGAGAACCAGCGGCATGCCTGCTCAGGCCCACCTCACTGCACTCTTGTGTTGTGGCAGGCAACCTAATACAGAATCTCTGAAAAAGAGCATCAACAAGGACTTACCACAGGACAAGTCAATGGCTGCCATCCTCTGAAGCTGATGGTGAGATGCGCCTCAATTCTCTCTTCCTTCATGCCAAGTTCGCCTCAGGGAAGCTTAGGAACCTAGGTGGAGAAAGGCAATCTCCATTCCTCTTTGTACAGGGTTATTTGTGGTCCTGTTCATTTCAATCATCAAGCATCAAACAGCAAGCATCAAATATCAGTCACCGAACATTATGCATCAGCTTTCTCTCTGCAGGTGACAGATGTGAAAGTCACCAAAAAATACACTCAATATTGTCACTCAGTAACGACAGTATTAATAATGGCGACTGACATTTACTGAGGACTAGTATGTAAGAAGTAGCTCTAGTAGCTTTATATATACATGGTCATGTAATTATAACCATCTTTCCCAATAGCTATCAATAACTCTGTGTATCTATGTATCGATCTATCTATTGAGAGAGGGTCTTACTCTGTTGCCCAGGTTGAAGTACAGTGGCACAATCATAGCTCTCTATAACCTAGGCAGGAGAATTGCTTGATCCCAGGAGGCATCAAGCTGAGATCACATCACTGGACTCCAGCCTGGGCAACACAGTGGGGTTCCATCTGAGAAAAAAAGAAAATATAGACAATTAACAAAGTGGCCCCAAGCTGAAATCATATTCTGAGGACCCAAAAGACGACTGTGGGCCACTACCAAAGTGAAGACTTACAGTAGTCAGTGATAGATGGTGTCTTAACACATTTGTACTTATCGAGGGCCCACTTGAACTATGGACCTATTCCATCATTATTTCCCCAGTTCCTGAATATATAATTGGAAGACAGGAATTTCTGGGAACTAGCAGCATCCCTAAAATTGGCTCTCTGATCAGTAAGGTGAGGACTGTTATGGCAGAAAAAGTAAACTGGAGGCACTGGGAATTACCCATCTGCTAATATAATAAAATAGAAGTAATATATCCTGGGGAACTGCAAAGAATAACGCCACCATAAGGACCAGGGGTTATGATAGTTACTACTTCCTCATTCTCATTAAACATACTACTCTGCCCTGTGCAGAAGTCACACTGACCTTGGAGAATGACTGGACTACCATAAAGTGAATCGCATGGTCACCTTAACTGTAGCTGTTCTTTTTTCTTTTTCTTTTCCCTGAGGCGGAGTCTCACTCTGTTGCCCAATCTGGAGTGCAGTGGTATGAACTTGGCTGACTGCAGTCTCCACCTCCTGGGTTCAAGAGATTTTCCTGCCTCAGCCTCTTGAGTAGCTGGACTATAAGCGAGTGCCACCACACCTGCCTGAGTTTTGTATTTTTAGTAGAGACAGGGTTTCACCATGTTGGCCAGGCTGGCCTTGAACTCCTGATCTCAAGTGATCTGCCCGCCTTAGCCTCCTAAAGTGCTGGGATTACAGGTATGAGCCACTGTGCCTGGCAATTTAGTATCTTTTTTAAACAATTTATTCTATAGAAATTAAATGACAGTGAACAGAAGTGGTATTATTAGGAAAGAAAAGTAGGAACGATCTGGATGAAAAGCACACATTAAAATCATAAAAAGAAAAAAGCAGATTGTTTGCAAAATCATATGAAAGTCTGGGTTAGATGAAAAAGAGAGGAATATGGAAAGCTGAAGATTCCCTAAAACTTCCAAATCCAAAGGCCCCATGTTTTGTGACAAAGTACATCTTTTAAATGTCTTCATTATGCTTCCAAACACACTGAACTGCTCATTGACCAAGAATGTTCTTCACACTCACCTTGGAGAACTCCTATTGGCAATGTGCTCAACTTTTCCTCCTCCTCCTCCAGTCAAGGCACAGACTAAGTCTGAACAGGTCCTGTGCAGATGGAAAGATACATCAATGGAAGAGGCTTATGCGAGATGACAAATCTATCCAAGAAAAAATAACTGTATTCCTAAAGAGAGCAGTGAAGCTACTTTTTTTTTTTTTTTTTTGAGACGGAGTTTCGCTCTTGTTACCCAGGCTGGAGTGCAATGGCGCGATCTCGGCTCGCTGCAACCTCCGCCTCCTGGGCTCAGGCAATTCTCCTGCCTCAGCCTCCTAAGTAGCTGGGATTACAGGCACGCGCCACCATGCCCAGCTAGTTTTTTGTATTTTTAGTAGAGATGGGGTTTCACCATGTTGACCAGGATGGTCTCTATCTCTTGACCTCGTGATCCACCCGCCTCAGCCTCCCAAAGTGCTGGGATTACAGGCTTGAGCCACTGCGCCCGGCAGTGAAGCTATTTTAAAAGAGCTCAAATTTCATATATCTCATCTTTTGCGCCCTGAGGAGACTAGTTATCTCTGACCCAATACCCACCATTCAGGCTTAAATACACATTTAAAAACCAGTAAAGAGTGGGCACAGTGGCTAATGCCTGTAATCCCAGCTCTTTGGGAGGCTGAGGCGAGAGAATCACCTGAGCCTGGGGAGGCTGAGGCTGCAAGAAGCCATGACAGCACCACTGTACTCCAGTCTATGTGACACAGACCCTGTCTCCAAAAAATTAAAGTAAAAACCATTAAAAACTTTCATTCAAATAGGAAATAATGCAAGTGCAAAGAGAAATCATTATTTTGTTTGTTTGTTTTGAGACAGTCTCACTCTGTTGCCCAGGCTGGAATGCAATGGCGAGATCTCGGCTCACTGCAACTTCCACCTCCCGGGTCCAAGCGATTCTCCCACCTCAGCCCCCCGAGCAGCTGAGAGTACAGGCACCCGCCATCATGCCTGCCTACATGTTTTTGTATTTTTGTAGAGAAGGGGAGATTCACCATGTTGCCCAGGCTGGTCCTGATCTCAGGTGGTCCACCCACCTCAGCCTCCCAAAGTGCTGGGATTACTGGCTTGAGCCACCATGCTAGGCAGAGATCATTATTTTTTTCACAGTGTTGTCAAAAGTTTGAATATTGTATCTTTTGGAGCTTTTTTCATATCATGGGTGTATTATATCTCTCTCTCTCCCTTTTTTTTTGAGATGGATTTTTGTTCTGTCGTAGGCTGGAGTACAGTGGCACAATCTTAGCTCACTGAGACCTCTGCCACTGCTTGACCTGTTTCAGGTGATGCAAACATTAACCGGGTGTGGTGGCATGTGCCTGTAGTCCGAACTTCTCAGGAGGCCGAGGCAGGAGAATCGCTTGAACTCAGGAGGCGGAGGCTGCAGTGTGCAAAGATCATCCCACTGCACTCCAGCCTGGGCAACAGAGTGAGTCTGTCTCAAAAAAAAAAAAAAAAAAAAAAAAGAGAAGAATCAGAGAGCTTCTTTAGAACACCACTCAAATAAGCTATATTTTATGTTCTCAGAGCTGAAATTGTTATAATTAATGAGACTCATACGCCAAAGCTTCCCTCGTATAATGGGAAAGAGGGAATCCTAGAGATAGGAGTGTCACTGGATTTACTATGTGTCATCTGTATAGCCCACTTCCGCGTCCTCTGTTGAGAGTGCAAAAGACACTCTCTTCACAAAGGTTATTGAGAGAGGAGTAACGTACTCCTCGAACAGCTCTGCTAGTATTCTTCATAGGACAGGTATGACTGCAACGAATACCATTGCTGAGATGAGTTCCCTGATTTTTCTTTTTTTTTTTTTTTGAGATGGAGTTTCACTCTTGTTACCCAGGCTGGAGTGCAATGGGACGATCTCGGCTCACCACAACCTCCGCCTCCTGGGTTCAGGCAATTCTCCTGCCTCAGTCTCCTGAGTAGCTGGGATTACAGACACCCGCCACCATGCCCAGCGAATTTTTTGTATTTTTAGTAGAGACAGGGTTTCACCGTGTTGACCAGGATGGTCTCGATCTCCTGAGCTCGTGATCCACCCGCCTCGGCCTCCCAAAGTGCTGGGATTACAGGCTTGAGCCACCGCGCCCGGCCGAGTTCCCTGATTTCTTTTTTTTTTTTTTTTTTTTTTTTTTTTTTTTGAGACGGAGTTTCGCTCTTGTTACCCAGGCTGGAGTGCAATGGCGCGATCTCGGCTCACCGCAACCTCCGCCTCCTGGGTTCAGGCAATTCTCCTGCCTCAGCCTCCCGAGTAGCTGGGATTACAGGCACGCACCACCGTGCCCAGCTAATTTTTTGTATTTTTAGTAGAGACGGGGTTTCACCATGTTGACCAGGATGGTCTCGATCTCTCGACCTTGTGATCCACCCGCCTCGGCCTCCCAAAGTGCTGGGATTACAGGCTTGAGCCACCGCGCCCGGCCCACGAGTTCCCTGATTTCAATCGAGATGAAGAGGACCCAGAATAGCAGAAATCAAGAGAGTAGTATTTAATTACCAAAGACAAGGTGAGCAAATCAACTATCAAAGACAGTGGAAATGTACTAGTAATCAGAATGCCCTGACCTACAGAGATCTGTGAGGGTGGCTAACTAGTCGTGTTATCCATAGAAATGAAACAGATAAGGAGTTAACAAATCCCACTCTAAGGAGCCACAAAATACATGTTAGTCATTAGGGGCCATACGGTCTCTGTTGCAACTACTCAACTCTGCTGTTGTAGCATGGAAAACACCATAGAAAACATAAACAAATGAACACGGTTGTATTCTGATTAAACTTTATACATAAACAACATGTGGAGGGACAGACATGGCCCATGGGCCATGGTGTGCCAGTCTTTGTACTTGAATACTGCTCTATCTATGTAAAGCAAGTCTAGGCTGGGGGTGGTGGCTCACTTTAATCCCAGCACTTTGGGAGGTGGGCAGATCACAAGGTCAAGAGACTGAGACGATCCTAGCCAATATAGTGAAACCCTGTCTCTACTAAAAATACAAAAATTAGCTGGGCGTGGCATCTGTAGTCCCAGCTACTCAGGAGGCTGAGGCTGCAGTGAGCTGAGATTGTATCACTGCACTCCAGCCTGGTGAGAGAGTGAGACTCTGTCTTAAAAAAAAAAAAAAATAAGCCGGGCGCGGTGGCTCAAGCCTGTAATCCCAGCACTTTGGGAGGCCGAGGCGGGTGGATCACGAGGTCGAGAGATCGAGACCATCCTGGTCAACATGGTGAAACCCCGTCTCCACTAAAAATACCAAAAATTAGCTGGGCATGGTGGCTCGTGCCTGTAATCCTAGCTACTCAGGAGGCTGAGGCAGGAGAATTGCCTGAACCCAGGAGGTGGAGGTTGCGGTGAGCCGAGATCGCGCCATTGCACTCCAGTCTGGGTAACAAGAGCGAAACTCTGTCTCAATAAAAAAAAAAAAAAAAAAAGAAAAAAATAGTCTAAATTACAGTAGCCAAAAACTTGAGTTATCCCAGTGGATAATCATGACCTCTCATTCAATTACCACACCTAAAGCATTTACAAATCACAAACTTAGGTGATTAATTACAGCCATTTTACAAATTATGATATCTGTACTAGAACCAATCAACATAATTCCTGTCACATGGTATGCAGGTACTGACATAGCTAATGTCTTTTCCCCATACCAATTTGAAAATAACAAAACTCAGTTATCTTTTACCTGGCAGGACCAACAATGTATCTTCACAGCATTGCCCCCAGGCTGTGTCAGTTCTCCAGGTCTTTGTCATAATATAGTTCCCAGAGAAAATGTTTCTACAACAAAAAATATAAAAAATTGGGCCGGGCACGGTGGCTCAAGCCTGTAATCCCAGCACTTTGGGAGGCTGAGGCGGGTGGATCACGAGGTCAAGAGATCGAGACCATCCTGGTCAACATGGTGAAACCCCCATCTCTACTAAAAATACAAAACATTAGCTGGGCATGGTGGCGCGTGCCTGTAATCCCAGCTACTCAGGAGGCTGAGGCAGGAGAATTGCCTGAACCCAGGAGACGGAGGTTGCGGGGTGAGCCGAGATCGCGCCATTGCACTCCAGCCTGGGTAACAAGAGCGAAACTCCGTCTCAAAAAAGAAAAAAAAAAAAATTATCACTAACAATATCCCTGATCTCAAATATAAAAACTAGGCAGTGTCTGGGGCTACAAAGTGAAAAAACTCCAAGGAGACGGTAAGAGAATCAAATTTCCATATCTGCGATCCTTTTCTTTAATCTGCCCAGCACCAAAAATGTGGAAAATTTCTACCGATTCAGTTTCTACAATGGAAATAATTGAGATCGAGGTGGACAACCACCTTCTCTACCATCCTGGGTTCCCTGGTAAAAGATCAGTCCCTCCCTGTCTCAACCCACAGGAAGCATCACAAGTGCCTAAAGGGAGAAATATCCCTGAGGATATCCAGGGACAGAGTGGAGAGGCAGGACTCCCATCCGAAGCCCTGGAAACTCTGTTTTATAACTTGGCCAAAGAAGAAACCAAATCAGAATGGCTATTCAGGAGGACCACATCTATGCTACACAGGCCCCTGGGCATGAATACACAGCCAGCCTTCCCACACTGCTGGGATATGCCTTTGGTGCCTTCCCCATTCTAGATGGCAGTATTCTTGATTGTTTGCTAGAGCAGAGGCAAACGCGAATTTAAGATTCCATCTAGTGCTGAAAAGAAGGCAGTGACCTAGAAAAATTTTAAAGAAAGAAAATCACTTTGGGAGGCAGACACAGCCAGACTGCTTGAGCTCAGGAGTTCAAGACCAGCCTGGACAACATGATGAAAATTCATCTCTATTAAAAAGCACAAAAAGTAGCCAGGTGTGGTGGTGTACATCTCACCTACTCAGGAGGCTGAGGCTGGAAGACTGCTTCAGCCTAGGAGGTAGAGGCTGAAGTAAGCCATGACACCACTGCATTCCAGCCTGGGTGACAGAGAGAGACCTTGTCTCTTAAAAAAAAAAAAAAAAAATCAGGGCCGGGCGCAGTGTCTCACGCCTATAATCCCAGCACTTTGGGAGGCCAAGGC